TAGAAATGTACCCAACACACAGGTCCACAATAACTGGCCGCTCTTACCCTGCAGGTTGAACCTAGGAACCGAGTGTTCAACTTAACATTCTTGTCATTAAAAGCCTGTGACAAAGGTGCGTCTATTGGAGCGACATCGTCTCAAGCTTACACATCTCCCGGGTCTCCATTTGACTGTCTATTGTCTCGGAGGAAGTCAACCCACACCTCCACTTCCACAAACTGCTGGGAGTTGCCTCGCTCTGCCTCAAAGTGAGAATTCTCCTCCTGCTTCACGTTGCCTCCATCGATGTGAAGGTCCGATTTTGGAGTTGAATCTTCATCTTCACATTTTACCTTCACTTCTTTCGCTCTTCACCATCACTTCTTCACATTTCACCTTCACATCTTCACGTTTCACCTCGATACCTTTCAAAGTATCCAAGCTGGGATTTTCTTCCGGTTCTTGTTTCACGAGGGATGGACTCATTGCATCACTTTGACTTTCACAAGCTGATTTCAGACTCCACTCCTTGTGGATATTGTGATGCTTGTGTGTTCTCTGGTGTCTTTGAAGATTTGGTGAAAGTGTAAACGTCTTCCCAAACACACTGCACTTGAAGGGTTTCTCTGCCGTGTGTATTCTCTGGTGTTCTACAAGAGTAGATGACCGTGCAAACGCCTTCTCACACACACCACACTTGAAGGGTTTTTCTCCCGTGTGTTTTCTCTGGTGTATTACAAGAGCAGATGACTTTGCAAACGCCTTCCCACACACACTGCACTTGAAGGGGTTCTCTCCTGTGTGTGTTCTCTGGTGTTCTACAAGAGTAGATGAATGTGCAAACGCCTTCCCACACACACCGCACTTGAAGGGTTTATCTCCCGTGTGGGTTCTCTGGTGTATTACAAGAACAGATGACCGTGAAAACGCATTCCCACACACACTGCACTTGAAGGGTTTCTCTCCCGTGTGTGTTGTCTGGTGTGCTTCACGAGTAGATGACCGTGCAAACGCCTTCTCACACACTCTGCACTTGAAGGGTTTCTCTCCCCCGTGTGTTCTCTGGTGTATAACAAAAGTAGATGACTTTGCAAATGCCTTCCCACACACACTGCACTTGAAGGGTTTATCTGCTGTGTGTGTTCTCTGGTGTATTACAAGAGTAGATGACTGTTGAAACCCCTTCCTACACACACTGCACTTGAAGGGTTTATCTCCCGTGTGGGTTCTCTGGTGTTTTAAAAGAGCAGATGACTGTGCAAACGCCTTCCCACACACACTGCACTTGAAGGGTTTCTCTCCCGTGTGTGTTCTCTGGTGTTCTACAAGAGTAGCTAAAAGTGCAAACGCCTTCCCACACACACCGCACTTGAAGGGTTTCTCTCCCGTGTGTGTTCTCTGGTGTTTTACAAGAGTAGATGAATGTGTAAACGCCTTCCCACACACACTGCACTTGAAGGGTTTTTCTCCTGTGTGTGTTCTCTGGTGTATAACAAGAGTAGATGACTTTGCAAACGCCTTACCACACACACTGCACTTGAAGGGTTTCTCTCCTGTGTGTGTTCTCTGGTGTTTTACAAGCGTAGATGACTGTGCAAACGTTTTCCCACACACACTGCACTTGACGGGTTTCTCTGCTGTGTGAGTTCTCTGGTGCTGTGTCAAATGTTCAGTACGATCTGTGCTGTTGGCACGCAGGTCGCATTGTTGCCTTTTTGCACCGAGCCGCGCCGAGTGCCTTTGCTCCATCAGACCAATTCTGCAGAGGAAGCGACAGCTGCAGACAGAAAAATATATCCACACCATCTACACATCAGTATCAATGCATATATATAGTCACACGTGACTTACATGTCTATACTTATACATATATTCATGATAGTGAAAAAGTGTCCCAAATTCATCACACGGGCTGTTATGGCACACAATGAGAGGGCAAATGGTTATAAACATGCCTGGAAGCCCTAGTATCTTCAAAATGAATGTTAACCCAAAACTCCGAGCATACGATTTCGGCTGTCTGGCTTCAAAATTACTATTTATGAAAGCTAAATTCAGCTGACATAGCAAAGGGTGTTGAAAAAAATACTATTTGTGTTATGCACAAATGCATAAATTAATGTTCAATTGCAACTTAGAGGTGTGAAGCCAGGCATAGATGTCCTTGAATGCTGGTATGAAGTTCCGACTTCAGCTGCACGTGTGCTGTGATAACTTCCTGACTCCAATCTTACAAAGACTTCCAGAGGAAAACAAAAATAAACTACCGTTTTGATATAACCTCCGTGCTCAATAGAATTAATAGACTTTACTGCAAATACAAACTTGACACTGTCACACACTCAGGGGCGGAGCCAGCATTTTAAGGTAGGGAGGGGGGCAAACCCTCCAGCAATGAAAAATGATAGGAGTTAATAATAGGAGTTTTCCCCTTTTTTCTGGCAACAAAACTGAAACCTTACGAGGATTCATTTCTGTGTCGTGTTTTCTCCGGAGACACTTTGTTGGGGGCACGTCTTTATTATATACACGCGCCCTAACTACTAAACATCAACTCCTCGTACAGTTTATCTCGAGTACTTCCACTCGGTATATTATACGCCTCCTACGTAACATGCCTGCCCCGGCTGTGCTCCAGGTCCTCTGGCTATAATATCCTATGGGAGACCCAGGGTCCACTACTGGCCTCACAAGCTAGGGGTCCAGGGTCCTATTCTAGCAGGTCTTCTTGCTTCAACTGGTCGTCTTCAACTGCCAGGACCTCTCCAGAGGTCTGCCTTATATACGTTTCTCAGCCGAGGTGCGGACCTCCGTGAGGGACGCGGGTGACCCCAGAGTCCCTCACCGAGGTCTGCATGTCTGCCGTTGCAGGCCAGTACGTCCGTAGCCCCCCCGGCCATTGGGAGTGTTTGCGAGGGATCGTAGGACCCCTCACAACCCCCAACCGCAAAAACACACTATGATAATGTGTGAGCTGTACGCCTTTTGGCGTCCTCTGGTCGAGCACCAATTGGCGTCCTCTGGTCGAGCACCAATTGGGTCAAGGCTCAAAAAAAGCCGTCCCTTGGTGTGGACCAATCAGTTTCAAGGACAATGCATATATTATCATAGTGTGTTTTGTTTGCATTTGACTGCAAGTATTGTGGTAAATGCAGACATGAATCCTCGTAAAAGACGTTTGGTTGGTTCGATCTTGTTGGTTTTTGTCGTTAGGCTGTTAGTAGGATCCTACTAACAGCCTAACGACAAAGACCAACAAGATCATCACGAGTTCGACGTCCCTAATCGAACCAACCAAACGTCCCTTTTTAAAACCCTCAGCTGCAAGACCTCCCAGATTCTATGGTCTTCCCAAGATCTATAAAGAAGGCTCCCCACTACGACCCATAGTGTACAATCAACTCTCCTACCTACAAACTGGCCCGTTTACTATCAGATACTCTGCTCCCCTTCACTGGCAAGACCTCGACAGCAGTACTTAACTCAACCCAATTGGTCTCTATGGTCAAGGACATGGTACTGTCTCCTGACGATATCCTCGTCAGTTTTGATGTGGTATCTCTGTTTACCAAAGTCCCAGTTCCTGACACCTTAACAATAATCGAAGACTTGGTCCAACATGGACTGAACTCGGATGTACCTGCGCTGGTTAGGCATTGCCTCACCAACACTTACTTTACCTGGAATGGCACCTTCTACAAACAGAATGAGGGTACCCCCATGGGCTCCCCCTTGTCACCAGTGATAGCCAATGTGTTCATGGAAAAGTTTGAATCAGATGCTATCCAGACGTCCACTCTGCGTCCTTCCCTGTGGAAGATATATGTGGATGACACTTTCGTCATTTGGCCACATGGCCTCCCAGCATTGAACCATTTTCTGGACCACATCAATTCCAGACACCCATCCATCAAATTCACCATGGAAGTGGAGAAAGATGGCAAACTACCATTCTTGGATGTTCTGTTTGAGAGGAGATCTGATGGATCCTTGGGACATTGTGTTTACAGGAAGGCCACCCATACAGATTCCTACTTGAAACCTGATTCCCACCACCATCCGGCTCAAAAGAATTCTCTCATCAAAACACTATACCAGAGAGCTCATTGCATCTCTGACCAACACCACCTGGCCAGTGAACTGAAACATGTACATTTGGCCCTCAAGATGAACGGATACTCTGTCCGCACTATCCGCCAAGCTGTTTCTCCCACCATACAGAAACAACCACTTGAAACTCCGATCAAAACTGTCACGTTGCCATACATAGCAGGCGTGACCAAAAAGATCTCCAAAATTCTAAACAAACATAAGATCCAAGTCCGATTCAGTACAGTACATAAAATTCGGGATCTGATCCCATCCGTAAAGGATGTCATTCCGGACTTACAGTACCCCGGTGTTTACAAATTGAGTTGTCCCTGCAGGGACTTGTATATTGGGGAGACGAAACGACATATTTCGGACCGAATTCACGAAAACAAATCAGATTTGAAACATGGCAGAACAAATTCTTCAGCCATTGCCAATCATTGTTACAATGCTGTGGGTGATCATGATATCGTTTTCTCCGATACGAAGGTACTCTGCAAGCCGGCTGGATACCACCAAAAATTTGTCCATGAAGCCATACAGATATACAAACACAGACATAACTTCACCCGAGAAGATGGATTCAAATTGAGCAATCATTGGAAAGATGTGATTAACCATGTTAAACTTAAATCGCCACTCCCCCCGCTCTGCGTCCCTCCTCCACCATCCGTGACGCCGTCTTTAAGTTCCACCTTCACCTTCCTGGCTCCACCCACATCCAAACCCCCCACTCCCCCATCCTACACTTCGTCCTCCCTCCAATGACTATTTAGACGCCGTTTTACTATTTTCACCTTCCTACAACGTTTTACTATTTTCACATTCCTGGCTCCACCCACACTGCAACCCCCCCCCCCCCATCCTGCACCCGTCCCCCTTGGCTCCTCCCCCCTCCTCTTACCCTATATATTAAATGCCCCATTACAAATAACTCCCACTACAGTTATTTTGCTGTGCCTTTTGACACCTGATGAAGGAGGCTTGTGTTGCCTCCGAAGCATCGTGATTTTAATTGATTTATTTTCATTTATTATTATTTTACTTAATCTTTTACCTACGTGACTTTACTGAAAAAACCTAAGAGTATGAATCCTTGCAGTCACGAAAGCTTCAAATCTAGAAATACAGTGATACCTCGGTTCACGAACGCTTCGGTTCACGAACAACTCGGTTCACGAACAGAAAATTTCATAAAAATATGCTCCGGTTAACGAACTCCGCTTCGGTTCACGAACAGGAGCCGCGGCCATTTTTATGCTAATTCCAGGCTGTCACATGGTCGTGACTTCCTGTAGGAAGATCGTGGAGAGAAGCAGAGACACAGAAAGAAGTACTGTGAGTACTCTGAAGACACTTTCAGTGACTTTTTGATTTTTGGTGTGCTTTTTAGCACATACAGTACTGTACTGTACTACTGTACTGTACAATACTGTACTTACTGTATTGTACAGTTCACCCGTTTGAGTGCTTACTGTCTCCCACCCGCCTCCCAACAGCCTTTCACCATGCCAGAAGTCATCTCAAGCAAGGTTAGTGTTCTCTCTCTATACATTACTATACTGTACAGTACTACAGTAATGTGTATTGTCATTTGTTTCATATTTTTGTGCTTCAAAAACCAAAAAAAAAGGTCAGAACGAATTAACCGGATTCACATTGAACCCTATGGGAAAATGTGCCTCGGTTCACGACCAATTCGGTTCACGACCAGAGTCAGTTCACGAATTAAGTTCGTGAACCGAGGTATCACTGTAATGATAGTTGTTAGTAAGGCGTTGTGAGTAAAGAGTTATTAGTAAGGACTTGTCCCTTGCTTTTTATTCGACGCGTGTGATCGGCATCGCGCTCGCTGAAGGTGTTTGCCTTCAGGGAAGCCGTGTACTGTATACGCAACTGCGCACAATTCTGCGAGTCGCTTGTAACTGCTTTGTTGTTACTTATTGCAAATTATGGACTTGGACTGTTGTCCTCTCAAGAGTCCCTGGCACATAATAATATGCCACACGGTGGCGGTCGCAAAATGCTGATTTATCTATATATAAAAAAGGGAAGTTTGCGAATGTCTGTTCGAAATGTTTAGCATACTTCCCGACATGCAACAAACTTGAAATTTGGCATGTGGTTAGCTTCCAGACTGTACACAATGCTAAAAGTATAAAAATAGACTTTTGTATTTTGGGGAGGGGGCGGGGGCGCAAAACAGTAATCCCTTGCCACTTCACGGTTCAAGTTTCGCGGCCTCAGTGCATCGCGGATTTTTCAAAAATATTCATCGAAAATTTTAAATTAAAAAATACCGCCATATCGGCAGCCGTATTCCGGAAAGCAGCGTTGTTTCATCGTGATGCCCGCGAGAAACGGTTTCCCAGGATGCCAGACAATGAGAGAAACTCTCTCAGAGGCTTTGTACATACCCACGGGCACTCAGACAAGGCACGTGATTGGTTCCCGGCGCGAGAGCGACGAATGAGAGCACGAGTGGATGTACAGCATCCCGTGAGCTGATTGGCTGCGCATCATCGCATCCTCTCCCAGCTTCTTCCCTTGTTGTATCTCGCCACTCTCGTTCACGCTGTCAACTGTGTCTCG